TACGGATGGCACATAGGGATGTGCGTCTCCTTCCCCCGGAGCCTGTCTCCTGCTCCTCCATCCAGCATGGCGGTGGCAGAGGCCCGCGGGACCGGCCTCTCCTCCTCTCTGGCGGCTCCCGTCTGCGTGAGCCAGGCTCTCGGCCCCGCTTTCCCTTGGCTGCGGGCCTGGGGACCGTCCACCCATTCCCCAGCCCGTGGGAGGGACTCCGTGGGAGAGGCGATGGAGCTTCTGGGTCATCTCTCAGGTCCCAGTCCTGCAGGTGGGAAAAGCACAGGCACGCGGGTCCCAGGCGGAGGAGGACCTGTCCCCCGTGTCCCCCGTGTCCCTGCCAGAAACACTTCACTGGGCGAGCTGTGACGCGTGACGGCGCTGGAAGCCAGCGAGTGGCTCCAAAGCGGGATTTCACCTTTTTTTTTTTTCAAGTGAGTGGGAGGCGGCTGCTCTGGATCTGGCTCAGAAAGCGGATTTTCTTTTACATCTAAAACCTTCTTCCGCAGGAGAGGAATTCTGCTCAGGAGGGTGGTTTCCGATTTGGGTTCAAGTGCCGGCTCGTCAGCTGGTCTTGGATGTCAGACATAGTAACCTCTGCAAGTGAATGTCCTTCGCTGGCAACGAGGTCAGAGACTCGCCACTGAGTGTCCCCGAAACATGCTCGCACCAGGGCCCGTCTGCCCAGGACGCCCCTCGTTGGCTATGCAGAAGGCAGGCGTTGGCAATTCAGCATCTCCCTGGACAAACCCACCTTCCACCGCCCAGACCACCATCCCTCCCACTCTCACAGATCTCAGTTCAAGTTGCCTCAAACCCTTCAGTGCCACCCTTAACACACACTCATTCCATGTACGAATCGTTATGCATCACTCCTCAAAATTCAAAATCTATGCAGAACTGTCACTTCTCCCAACCTCTGCAACCACCCCCATCCAAGCCAGTACCGCCTCTCTGCCTTGTCACCACCACTTCGAACAGGTCCCTGGCGTTTCTCCTCGCCCCTAGGGAGCAGCCAAGTGGGCCTCTGGGAACAGTCTTGCCCCTTGCCCCACCCTTGTGTCCTCCCCGCCACACACTGCCGTGTCACGCGGAATAAAGAGGTGACAGAGCTCTGTGAGGTGCCGTAGCCTCTGGCCCCATCAGCCCCCTCACGGCATCTCCCTCACTGACCTGCCCCTCCTTCTCTAGCCATGTGGCCCCTGGTCACTCTTCCAAAGAACTAAGCTCATTCCCACCACAGGGCCTTTGCATTGATTCCTTAACCCACTCGGAACCCTCTTCCCAAAGCAGCCAGCCTGGCTCTGACAGCTCCCCGAGTTCTTTGCTTCAATGCCCCCCTCCCGGACCACGCGTGTCACAGCAGCCCCTTCGCAATGTCTGTGCCTCCCCCCTGCTTACTCTTCTCCATCCCTCCTGCACCACGGGGCTGGCTGGCTTGCGTATTGTTTGTCTGTTTATTAATAGCCTGTCTCCTTTTAGTATAATGTCACCTCCATCTGTGTGGAGCCATCTGGAAAAGGGCTGCACTCGCATCCAGACCCTGGCACTGGGTGCTCATGAGGCTGTGAGAGAGACGACGGGTCCTGGAGAACAGCTTCAGAAACCAGGCACCCACTGCATGCATGGACCGGGTCACGGGCCTGCCACACAGAAACGCTGCAGGTGGGGCCGAGACGATGGTTTTCCTGCCAAGGCTCATCCCAAGCTTTGCTCACCATGTGGGAACAAGAGGATCGGATTTCACCACATGGATCGAGGGAAACGGAAGAGGAAGCAGCTGCCCTTATTCTCGCTTTTAAGATATAGTTATCTGGCTCATTATTAATGTGCGCTGGTGAGCAACAGGGGCAGACAGATTGCATTAACCACCTGGGAAGGCCCCAGCAGGTGGCGCTGTCCCAGAGGCACATTCACATCTAAAAATAACCGTTTGTGTTGGGTTTTATGTGAGCTTGGGGCCAGGCTTTATTTTTCCCATATAGATAGTCCCTGATGTGGCACAGTCACTGAAGCAGCCATTCTCTCTCTACTGCGCTCTAGTCTCTCCTTTGTTATCGATCAAATGTCCATATGGGACAGTCCTGTTCCTAGATTCTATTCAGTTCCAATACCACACTTCTCATTACTCACTCAGTTGTATACATTACTCTTCTCTGTAATCAAAACAATGACTACCACCAACACCATCATCATCATCACCATCACCACCATCATCACATCAACACACCACCACTATCATCACCATCACCACCATCATCATGCCATCATCATCACCAATACCACCATCACCACCACTATCATCATCATCATCATCATCTTGGCAATTAACAGTTATTGGTATGATTATTATGTACCAGCAGCATCACATGCACTTAACCAACTCCATGAGATCAGTATTATTATAAACCGTATTTTACAGATGAGGAAACTGAGGCCGAAAGGGCGTGGATAGAACTCCCAAGATCACACTGCTCCTAAGTGGCAAACAAGGATGTGCCCCATCTTTGTGGGAACCTGCGTCTTCTAGGGCTTTCTATTTTCACCTCAGTCCTTCCCTCAGCTACCACCTGCCCTTCCGTTACCTGGCGCCTCTCTGGTATCTATGAGGCTGTTTCTGGTTGTGGGACACACAGGCCTGGCCTGAGTTTGCTCTGTTTTATGAACAGACGAATGAGTAGATTTAATCTCAAATAAGATTATTAGTCCTTGTAAACTTTTTAAAGATCAAGACTGGCCGCTTTGGGAATCACGGTGTTTGCCCCGGGGAGAAAATTCACGTTGCAGGCAGGGCTCAGCACAGGCTGCGCTGCCTCCAGATGCACCTGGAGGAAACTCCACCAGGAGGCTCCACTGAGCTTCCTTTATGCTGACACCCCTCACCCAGCTCCTCATCCACCTGGCGTGGGGGTTCCTGGGAGCTTAGAGGCAGCACTGAAGGCAGCAGGGTAGCGTCCTTGGTGCCAGGGAGTTGCCCCAACAACTCACAACTGGTCTACCCATTACCTGGAGAAGCAATGCGCTCTGTGTAAGGGGCGAGTCCCGGACAGAACAATCCCAGAGGGGGAACAAGTAGCCCGGGAAGCCTGGGGCCCTGAGTGCTGGCGGCTGAATGCGCAAGGGAGAGTGCAACCGAGGGGGGCAGAGGGGGGCAAGGACACCGTGGGCATGAAGGCCCCACCTTCTCTGAGCACAGGATTCGCTGCGGGTGATGCCGCCCCACTGACTCTTCTGCTGAGTCCCCACTGGCCAGAAGCCAGCACGGAGGGGGTGCTAACTGCGCTCAGGTAGCACAGGTAGCACTCGGGCAGGCGATCTCACACGCTGCCTCAGAGCTGCGGAGGCGCTATTATTAATTTGGGGACACTTTAACACCCCTGCACGGTGGTGTTAACACCAGCTTAGCAACCTGGCTGGTTAATAGGGGGA